TGCCCGGGAGGCGGTGGGAGAGGGGCGGGGCGGGGAAAAACCTTTTCCAGAGGGTTTTGTGTTGCCCGGGGGGGGGGGTGGAGCCCTTAACCCCCAGTTGTTCAACAGCCAGTTCCCCTCAAAAAAGCCCAGGAGAGATTTTGCACGGGGTTTCGGCTTCCTTTTAGGCCAGAGGTCTTCAAACTTGGCAACTTTAAGACTTGTGGACTTCAACTCCCAGAATTCAGTTGACCTCTATAAGTCTTAAAAGTTGCCAAGTTTGAAGACCTCTGGCCTAAAAGGAAGCCGAAACCCCGTGCAAAATCTCTCCTGGGCTTTTTTGAGGGGAACTGGCTGTTGAACAACTGGGGGTTAAGGGCTCCACCCCCCACCCCCCCCAGGCAAAGCAAAACCCTCTGGAAAAGGTTGTTTCCCGTCCTGCGCCTCTACCTCAGCATCCTGGGACTACAACCCCCAGGATTCCCGGCTATATCACGACCGCGCCCGGGATTCCCAGCCGGCCGCCATAGACAAGCCAGGTTAAGGGAAGGTTAAGGTCCCATCCGCCGCCGGTAAAGTAGGGTGGGTGGGCGGTCAGGTCACTCACCATGCCTGCCGCGCTCCTTCACACGCCCCGCGGGAAGGGAACCAAAAAAAGGCGGGAAACCACCCGCGGCCCTCCCTGGCAAAGAGGCTCGGCGCCCCTCAGAAGCCCTGCCGTAAGCCGAGGGAGGACCTGTCGTAAAAGCGCCCGCGCGCTCTTCCGCCTCTCGGACCCGCCCCTCCAGCAGGCTCCGCCCACCCAGGCGCGAATTCGAAGAGAGGAGCGCGCGCGTTCGGGCTCTTCGCCCTCCCTCCTCCTCCCCTCCCCGGGAGGCGCCTGGAGTGTGAAGGAGCCGCAGTTCAGCTGGATCTCGCTTTGTCCCAGGTTTCCCTTCCTCATCTCCTGCTTCCCTCACCTTCCCCCCACCTCCGCCCAGCCCCAATATATGGGAATGGTCTCCTCTACTCATGTATGCATTCGAAGCAGACGGTGATGTTTCTCTGGGTCGTATATGTGGGTTTATGCTTAATGAATATTCTTAGCAGAAATGCAACGGCATTTCATTTTAATATACGCTGATTAGTTTACATTTAAAGTGTCAATGAAGATCTATTCTTCTATTTCATTCCATTCCATTCCTCTATCCTATCCCAACCCATCCCATCCCAATTTTCCATTCCTATCCTATCCTATTTTTTTATTCCTATTCCTATTGCATCCCATCCCATTTTTCCATTCCATTCCTAACCTGTCCTATCCTATTCTATTTTCTATTCCTATTCCTACCCTATCCCATCCTAATTTCCATTCCATTCCTATGCTATCATATCCTATCCTGTTTTTTATTCCTATCCCATCGCATCCTAATTTCCATTCCATTCCTATCCTATCATATCCTATCCTGTTTTTTATTCCTATCCCATCGCATCCTAATTTTCCATTCCTGTCTTATCTTATCCTATTTTCTATTCCTATCCCATCCCATCCTAATTTTCCATTCNTTTAAATTTCTTTCTTTTTCCTGAGGAGACTGGTGAGGTTCCACCTCCCTTGCCTCTAGTGACTGCACGTCCCTGGACTCTGAAGGCAGTGGAGCATTTCTTACAACCAACAGATCTGATCTTATAAACTGCTGGGATCATCTACTCAGTAGTTTTTACACTTTATTCTGTTTGTAGAACTAGCTGAAGACAAGTGTCACTAATAGATATTAAGAGTCTTTTTTGTGATTTACTTCTGCTTGTTCAGTTCTTGAATATTGTGATTCCACCAAGAAATCCAAAGGCTTAACTGAATCAAGAAGTGATGTATTTACTGTATACTGCTGCTGGGTGCACAACAAGGGATTGTGTTTGTAAAGGACTGCCTTACAGGAAAATATACGGGGCACTCAATCTTGCCTGCAAATGTACTTATTTGCTCCTTCTCTCTTCCACAATGTAAATTACGTGGCCTACAACAAAGCGAGTGAAGAAAACTGGAGTCTTGAATTGTACCCATTAGACTTCATTACGCAGAGGTAGCTTCCAGATTCTGGCTCTAATTGCCTCATTTAAGCCTGACACGAAGAATACTTGACCATGATTTAATTCTGTGAAAAGTTAATAAATACATAGTACAGCTCATGCAACTACACTGTGGCTTAAGCAACCGGGCAACAAATGCTTCTGTTATGAGACAATGGATTAAGCTTTTTAGTTTCTTGCCTTCCAGATAAGCAGTCAAGGGCATCCCTGCATTAATAAGCTAATTAAAACCTGAGAAAAACAATCATGTTTTAGAATTCAAATGGGGACTATGTAACAATTTCATTGGGACAAACGAAAATCACAGAACAATGCCCTATAGTTCTCAGCTTCTTACACTTGAAATTAAAAGGGGGGAGGGGAAGTCAACTGAAATGGAAAGGAAAAGGTAAAAGCAGCTATTGTTAAATGGTAACACAAAATGTAATAATGTAGAGAAAGCTAAGAGCATTTGGTGAAAGTATTTGGTGTTGGAATAATTTCTGGTGAATTTTTATGAAGTTACTGGTCTCATCTATAAATCTCTAGTGGCTGAAAAGACAACAATGGGTTTTATAACTACCTGTTACATAAAGTATTCTGGTGTTTTTCACCTACTTGTTCTCATGCAATCAATTTATTCAGAATATGCGGCCATCCAAAGAAATGGGACATACAAATAGTCAACACACCACTTGGTTTTATTATTAATTCAATGGGGCAAGAGAGTTAGAGTAGAAAAATGTTAAAGGCATTTAGGTACCCAGTACAAAGGGGATGGGTCAAACTAGCTGCCAGGCAATTTTATTCTTTATCATAAATCCAGGCTTACACCATTTTATACAGGTTGTTTTCTGGCTAAACAGGTTAGGACTGATTGATTTAGAACATCAAAACTCTTTTGTTGTTGTTAGTTGTGAAGTTGTGTCTGCACCATCACGACCCCATGGACAACGTTCCTCCAGGCCTTCCTGTCCTCTACCATCCCCCAGAGTCCATTTAAGCTCACACCTACTGCTTCGGTGACTCCATCCAGCCACCCCATTCTCTGTCGTCCCCTTCTTTTTTGCCCTCAATCTTTCCCAGCATTAGGCTTTTCTCCAGTGAGTCCTACTCTTTTACACCTCTTCTAAACTCTTTTACATCTCTTCTAAAACAAAATATTTATCTCTGCAAAACTACAATATTTCTAAATCTTTAAAAAACCTGTTTTCATTTCATTATATTGATGTATGTATACTGTATATATAAAACACTATTGTACTATGTATTTATACTTAAATATAAATATGTACAAAGCTATATATTCCATTTTATTTTATTCATACTCATATTGTTTTTATGTTGGTCTTTGATTAGTGGAGCTACATTTTCTTTATGCATCAAACTTTGCCATTTACTCAGTATTTATGATTCATATCTTACTTTTCCCCCCGAGGAACAAAAAGTAGCATGAGTACAACTCTAAATGAATTGGATTCAGCTTCCTTTCCAAAAACAGAACACAGATGTCTTGCGTGAAAAGAACTAGGCACTTCTGTTAACACAATGTGTGTGCAATCTTCCATGCAAGTCTTTTATAACATGTCCAGAAGCAAAGAAGAACTAGTGTCTCCAAGACATGTGCTCAGCTGGTACATTTGGAATCTTTTAGCAGCTCATCTGCAACAGTTTGCCAAACAGCTTTCCTGGTATATCTTCCTCCGATCTATCTCTGAATCCAACTCAATATGTTCAGCATGTTGAATAAACATTCCTCACAAACAGACATCAAAATAAATCCTGTTTCCTACCTGCATCCTTTTCAATCTGGAGTACCAATCTTGTATTGGAATGGTCCACTCTTTTTGTGCTGGAAAGAAGATAGATACCTATAGATTATGTCAGCTGGTGAACAGGGGCATTTCTTCTTTCTACCCTTTATGTATTTTGTATATACTTACATATTTTAATCTGGCTCCTCCAGAAATTAGCTCTTCTTTTTTACAGGTTAAATGTTATCTCAAGTTGCCAGAGGCCTGAAAAAACACCCCAGTTTAATCAAGAGAGTGCCCTTCTGCAGGGGGACTATGGGGAATAAATTCAGCACCACTGGATGGAACAAAGCTTGGGAAGTGAAAGAGTAATTTTCAGCACTATCATAGATAGTCCTCAACTTACATCCACTTAGTGACCATTTATAACAGCTCTGAAAAAAGTAACCTTTAACCATTTTTTCACACTTATGAACGTAGAGGCATCCCTATAGGGACGTTTGGCAACTGGCATGTGTTTATCACAGTTGGAGTGTCCTGTGGTCATGTTTGCAACCTTCTGACAAGCAATCCAGATTCACTTAAGAACCATGTTACTAACTTAACAACTGCAGTGATTAACTTAACAACTGTGGCAAGAAAGGTAATAGCAATAGCAATAGCAATAGCAGTAGACTTATATACCGCTTCATAGGCCTTTCAGGCCTCTCTAAGCNCCTAACCCTTAACCTAACCCTTACCTTTATGTGAATCGGCCTGCTGTAATTTAATTTTTATTTCAATTTTTCGATCTTTTTCGTCGCGTTGTGATGACGTCACATACGCGATTTCGTCGACTGCGCTTTTGTGGAACGCGCTTTTGACGGGTCACGCATTAATCTGGCCCACGGGACCATGAGGCTGCCCTACCCACATCGCCCTGCCTATCTCCCGGACCCCACCCGCCTTCTGGAGGCCAGAGTGGGCAAAAACAGACCCATTTTTTCCTCCCCGGCCTCTAGAGAGAGGGAGGGAGGGAGGACAAGAGAGAGAAACACACACACACAAACAGAAGTCCCTCATACACACCCCAGGGCAGCTACATCCCTTCACTAACCTGCTTTCCACCCCCAGGAGCAAAACAAATTAAAATTTGTGTGCATTGTTTGGACTGCTAAATTGGCCATGCCTAACCGGTCACATGACCACCTAGCCATGCCCACCCAGCTGGTCTGGCTCCCCAACAGTCTGAGGGACCATGAATTAGGCCCATTTAAAAAGTTTGAGGAGTTCTAATATATCTCAGCTACCATAGTCAAAAAGGAGATTTGGGTTAAGGGGGGAAAGTAGGCAATTTTTCATAGGAATACCCTTTCCCCATCATGTCACCCTTGGGCTGTCAATTCTAACTAAAACCAATGCTGAAAAGTTCTTTCTGTTCCATAAAAATCCACATGTGAAACACTTTGTATGGATGGGTGACCTGCCAGAACATGGGGCCTCAAAGAAGAACACCTGGTGATGATGCATACTTGCCTATAAAATAAGGTTTCCCATTTATAAACTGAATTACCATCATCTGTATGTGCTTCAGAAAATGTCAGTAAACAAGTAGATGTTGGCTGAACTCAGAAACTAATCAAGATTGAGTCTGGTTAAAACCTGGGTAAGAGACCACCTGAGATTTGCAAGGCTGTTGACTACTCTTGGAAGTAAAAAATGGCTACAAATAAAGCTGTAACCATTTTCTGAAAATATCATGGAAGTAGATTGTTTAAAGAAAAACCACAATATTGACTTTTCCAAGAAAACTGGAAAATATTATATTGAGCAGAAAGAAATATAATATTATACAGCAATATCAAAGCTGGTTGAATAATTTCTCAGTCCCTCTGGAAATCACTATTAATTTGACTCCTGAATGGAGCAGAATATCACCTGAATTTACATAAGTTAATTAGTACTGCAAGGACCTTATTTAATCCTAAAACCGCCTTCTAAAAGGGACAGGGTATTAAGACATGTATGTTAAGGACATGTATGATACAAAGGCAACACTGGGATGAGGTATCAAAAAAATCAGCACGTCAGCTGCAATCATACAGTCAAATCTGCCTTGTTTTTTTTAATATGTGAATGATGTCTGTAGGGAAAAAGACAAGGACATCCCAGGGGGGCTGATTAAAGCATATCAGAAAAGTTAACCTTACAGATGGCAGCTGTTGTTCTTTAAAAGGGGAACTTTGGAAGGAGGAGGTCCATCAGTGAGATCAAATCGGTTCCCTTCCAGGTTCATAAGAACGGAGATAACATATATTTGAAATACAAAGTGGACATCTATGAACAAATTCACAGGGGTAGATTAAGGAAAAGGTCTGAAATCCAAGGTAGTGTACATCAAGGATCCCCAACTCCTAGTCCATGGACTGGCACTGGGCCGCAGCATGCCAGAAACTGGTCCGCACAAACAAGCGAAGCCCCATCCACGGGATAAAGGCAGCATGTGAAACCACACCCTCTCCGGTTCATGAAAAAAAACTCCACAGAATTTATCCCTGGTGCCTAAAAGGTTGGGGGGTGCTGGTGTACATGATCTTGGTTGGCCTCAAAAGTTAAGCTGGTGTCTTGTTATGGGTAGCTTCTCTTTAGTTCAAACAATTTATTCAAGGTTTTTGTAGGAGGCACTTCCTGAGAGGAAAAATTATTGATAGACAATATTCAGCCATATGCCTTCAAATGTGTCCAAAGGAAAATAGAGCAACAATCCTCACTACCTACAAATTGTTTTTTATTGTTTCAAACTGTTATATTGTATCATTCAGTTGTTTTATATTGTGTTAACTGTTTGTAAGCAGCCCAGAGTAATATATATGTGATGGTTAGCTATATAAATGGAAAGAAATAAAAGGTACAAAAAAATAGAATAAAAATTATACACGTTTATTAGAATTACAACAATTGCTTAAAAGTTGAATTACATCATTATTTAAATAGAGCTCTATTATTTTACATTACATATAAAAGAATAATTAAAAACTATCGAAATTCTTTACATTTAAAACAAAGTTATAATTACGTAGCTATATAGATACGTACTGCTTTCACTCTTTGTTACTTCTTTTAACTAGGTTCAAGATGCTTTTTTAGACTAGTGGGGTGGTCTATTTTCATGTTTGTCTTGCGAGCCCTCTGACTCATCTGAATATGATGTTACTTCATCCACAATGTTCACCATAGCATTGGAGGATGTTACTTCATGTTCATCTGTTTGTGTACATCTGGTTTGACCTGGAAGCTGGTCTCTAGGATTGTAGAATGGTGTGGGGAAATAAGTACAGTCAATTTATCACATGATTTAATCTCATTCATATCATCATAAAATACCTTGCTATGTATCTTACTAATGATGATTTTAAAAGCCACCAAGTATGCACATGTATGCACACTCTTCTTAGTTGTGCCTACAGCAAAGGCCCAAATTGTTAAAAAAAACAGGAAAGTGAGCAAAAGTACTTTTTAGGTCCATTATATCCCATTTCTGTATTCCAGTGTTTCTCAAACTTGGCAACTTTAAGATGAGAGGACTTCAACTCCCAGAATTCCTGTCAGCCTTGGGGGATGGGAGGGATGTGGGGGGGGGATTCTTTCTGGTTGGAGAATTCTGGAAGTTGATGTTCCCTTATCTTAAAGTTGCAAGGTTGAGAAACACTGTTGTATTCAGAGGCTTCTTAGTTTTTTCATAATCTTTTTAAGTTTTATGTTTATGTATTTATTATTGCAATTTCTGTGCTACTCCAAAAAGACTCCAAAGGAGGGACTACAAGAATATAAAAATAACAAATTCCCCCCCAGTTGAAAGCACAGAACCTCAAGGCATAAAACCAGATACAGGTAGTTGTCAACTTACAATAGTTCATTTAGTGACCGAAGTTTGCAGCACAGTGCAAAGCCTTAGCCAGCCTAGCTTGGCCCAGTCCAGCCCCCTTCACTGCTTTGCACTCTGCCTACGTAACTGACCTTCGCTGTTCTCTGCTGCTGCTGAGATACACCTGACCTGACATAACTGTATATAAAGCAGTTGTCAACCCTGAAGCTGACCTGAATGAAGCCATTTTGAGGCTTCAGTGTTGCCACACTGGAGCTGAGGGATAGGGAGGGGGGAATAGAGATAGCTTTTGTAGCCAAAACAAAATACTTTCTCCTGGGAACCAAGGACATTCTCACACCTGGTCAGAGAGAGGAGGAGGAGTGATGTTACTGGGTAACAGGACTGCGCCTTGATTGGACCATGTGACTGTTTGGGGAAGGAGAAATTTTTTAAATTAGGTGAACACCACAGGAACCTTCAGAGTTGGTTTTCACCAGAACTGTGCCAATATGATATATCCAATAAAGCTATTCTTTGAGGAATCTACCTGCCTCAGAGTTTTGTTTGCTATGGGTGTATTACTTGTAACCTGACAGCAGTTCCTGGTCATGCCAGGCCTTCTTCCCAAGGCCACTTGTGCCATTCTCAAAATAGCGCACACTATTCATTCTCCCAAGTAGTGCACTCTGTTCTCACAATGCTTCAAAAGGCCCTTGGAAAGCTTTGGACCTCCCAAGAATGAGCAGACTATTTGTAGACTGAATGATGACAAGACATTACAGCAAAAGGCTGCAAAGTCAAATGGCCCACTTCAGATTCCTAGTCATTTTATCAGGCTTTCTTTCAAAGTCTTCAATTTGATTTTTATTATCTCATGTTTTCCATTCTCTGTCTCCAAACCATTAACAGACACAAATCAGACATCATTTGCCCTTCAAAGATATTTCTCTTTCTACAAATCTGGCAGCTGCTCCGAATTTGCTAACAGATTCCTTCCATTTATCTTATACCACCCAAGATCAGCATTTGGTTGCTCAATCGATCAACCAACAATATTTGCAACTGCTCCAAGTCCAGGCAGTGAGCAATGAAGAATTAAAAAGTCAACATAAGACTATGCATCATCATCATCATCATCATCATCATCATCATCATCATCATCATCATCATCATCATCATCATCATCATCATCATCAAGACTTGCTGAGGGAAAATGGTTTTAAGCCCCTTCAGGTAGGCAGGGAATATCTCATCATGTAATTATGTGGGGCCTACAACAAGAGTCTGGAATGGCCCTGATTATTATGAGCCACCCAGCCAGATACATTATATGCTGGTGACACAGTGGTTAAAATCCAGCACTGCAGGCTAACTCACTGCTCACTGCAAGCAGTTCGATCCTCACCGGTTCAATTTTGACTCAGCCTTCTATTCTTCCAAGATGGGTAAAATGAGGACCCAGAATGTTGGGGGCAATATGCTGACTCTGTAAACCACTTAGAAAGGGCTGTAAAACACTATGAAGCAGTATATAAGTCTAAGTGCTATTGCTATGCTTAGATCTCAGTCAGTTGTTTTTAAGGTCACCTGCCTTAAAGTTATTGCTGTTGCCCTGTGTTTGTACCTCTGGAAATATGCTAAAACCTTCCTCCATTTCGATCAGCAATGGCATATCTTACTCTACTATGATATTTATAATATTTAGCTAGTGCTACACAAAAATGCATATGGGTGGAATTACCCCTTTAGAAGGGATACCTGAGGGGTAAACCTACCTCTTTTCTTTGGTACATTCATAGATTCCAAAGGCAGAACACACAAGAAGAATTAATGAAACCAATAACGTAATAATAGAGATGGGAAGCAGTATCTTTTCCTCAATTCCTTTTTTCTGATGAACTTGGCCACTTCTTTCAGCCTGATGTAATCTGTCTGAAACTTAAACATAATGGAGGTTGGGGAAAATAAAAATGGTATTAAATGAGTCAAGTGGACATACTTAAATGTAATTGCATGAAATAATTACATTATCTATTTGTATAAAATATAAACTAATCATAATTGCAAAACTAATACTCAATTCTTTTCCATATGCTGATTTTGTGTCTGTAGAAGAGGAGGAAGAGGAGAAAGAATGCAATGTGGAACCACTCAAATACTTATCTTTCTTTGTAGCCTGAAACAGAACAATTCTACTATTTCTTATGTTTTATCTATTATTGTGACTTACAAACCCACTGTGTATATGTATACATGTGAGTGCTTGAGTGAAAAAGAAACAGAAAAATCTCTCCTACCATATATTGAGTTTGTGTCAGTACACTGCATATGTCTCTTGGTGGGATATAGAAAACTTTGATGGTTTTCAGAATAATTTCTAGATTAGAGATTCCAGCTGTGAATGTGTCCAAATAAAACAGGACTTTAATTATATGAACAGCATACTGGCCTAAATGTACAAAAACAGACTAGCACTGTTCTTGCTATTAGCCACATATGCTGCATATGACACAGGTGTGACCAAAACTGAGGTACAGTTGACTCCAATCCTGCTGCTTTTCTGAAAGGCCTTTAAAAATTGGTTTTGTGGGTCTGGGGACCACAAATGAAGATGGAGGTGATCAAGTGATGTTGTTGCTGCCACGAGGAGTGGGGAGGGTTTTTATTATGGTAAAAAAAAAATGTGAAGGTCAGGATGGGGAGAAACTAATTTTGATTCAGCCCTGGGAAGATGGCTTTGGGTTTTAGCCCTCCAGAATTTGGTGATATGTCATTCTTAATTCTGGATGGGGTTGAATTTCCCTGACTGAGCTGATATGCAATTTGAGTTCCCTCCTGAACTCATGGGTCTCATTCATGGGCCTTTGCACAGATTCATCCTTTCTGGATTGGAAAGCCATGCTCACAGACATTCCTGCCTCAGTGACTTCCCATTTGGATTACTGAAATGTGGTTTGCAAGGGGCTGCCCTTGAAAATCATACCCAAGCAACAACTGGTCCAGAATGCAGTGTTGCACTCAATGCTGGATGCTTCTAGGCTTACCCAGGTTACACGTCTGTTGTGCAAGCTGCACAGGCTCTCAGTTTCTTTCTGGATGCAATTCAAGGTGCTGATTATCAATTTTAAAGCCCTACAGTGTAGCACAGGACAAGGTTATTTGTAGAATGGTCTCTCCCCTAGATTATCTGTCTGTTCTACCAGAATGGATAGAGTAGGCATGCTCCAGGTCTAAGAAAGCTTGTGGTTGTAATCGTTTGATATGTACTGCTTGTTTTGGTTGAAATATGGGTTCCCCTTGTTATGTGGCATTTCTTTTAAGTAAAATTTGAATTAGAAATAAATTAGAAATAGAAATATATAAATTATATAAACTACATTTGTAGATGTTAAAATCATTCCATGAATTTATGGTGAAAATTGCTATTTTTCATGTCATTTTTTATGAGGAAGTGCTGTCATAATTGTGGGGTAAACGTTTCCTAATACAAACAGCAAATTATATTGTGTCAACCAAAATGAAATACACCCCCAGAAGAGGACAATTTAGAAGTAATTTATAAAGTTGGGTCTCCAGCTTTATCAAATGTGTGAATAAATACATTTTTATTGCACTCAAAGATACTGTTAGGCATATCGATGGGGTTGTGGAAATTATAGATACTGTGTCCTTCCGATGCCTAAAAATGTCTGCTGTGAATGCCAAGGAATTTAAACAATGCTTCATGAACAGTGCCAATTTCTAACTGTTCAGCTCAGATTCCTTAGAATTTGGTATTACCTCTTTACTAGCAGTAAATATGGGATTTACAGATTATATAATATTTGTGGCAAATAATTATAAATGTAGTTAGATTCATATAACACTGAGTTTTAACTATGCTAAATCATGTCTTTACTTGGTATTGGTTGGAAAAACAAGTTTCGAGGAATATCTTGATCATCCCGTAATCCTGTAATAAATGTAAATAAGCAATCCAATTAAAATACTCAGAACGATACATGCTTATTTTCAAAAGAAAGTAGATTACCTTTATTTTGATTCATTTCATAGTTGGGCAATGCTTCTGTTCCTTCTAGTCATATTTTTTTATTTATATCTATGAGACAGCTCAAAAGGCATACTTGTAAATCACTAACATCTGTGGGTGAAGTTTACATTTTGGGTCATTTATATTTTGGGGGCTGGTTTAAAATGCAAATCTTGTAGAACCTTGATGTACATATTGTGTATCTTTTTCCTGCAATATATATGAACATCCAAACACAATTGTCAGCTGTGCCACCAAATGTTGGCTGCACAATTTAAGAGACTCTCAGGCTCATAGATAGAAATTGTCCACCCCTGATATCTCCTATATAACCTGCAATAGCTACAGTACTGTAAAACATTCTTCAGGCATCATCCACATTATGAGTGTAGCTAATTCAAACAAATTATGAGCGACCTATTGAAAACAAACTCAGATATTAAATCTGCATCTTATTCTGTATGGCAGTTTTTTTAAAATGTTACCCGAATGCCTTGATTCTGAAGTTTCTTTGCTCCCCCAGAGAAGGCAGTTGTGTTGGGAAAATACTGATGAAAATGCTAGTAGCAAAACATGTCATTAGATCTATAACAGGCATCATTCATCTTAAACAGAATTGTACCTTCTATTGGAAGGTCCATGGGTGGCTCGTCTGTATTCAGTGTAGGATAATGAGGGCCGAATATATCTAAAATTCAAAACAACAAGGACAGAGCAAGACTTCAGAAAGAAAGATGCTGCATGTAAGTTAGTTGGAAAGAAAGTTAAGCTACAATATTTGTAATAGGTTTGGTTTTCCAGAATTCCTTCCTTCCTTCCTTCTTTCCTTCCTTCCTTCCCTCCCTCCCTCCCATAATATTATTCTGCTGCCATTTTTTTGAAAGCCAAAGCCTCATTTATTCCATGAAAGAGTTAATTATTTAAAACTTCAAGTTTTAAGACCCATTTTACCAAGAATGTCCCAGTACAGTAGGATCACTGGGACCCATCATATCCAAGTTTTGTCTAGATGTTAAGTTCTTAGCATATGCACCAAGGACTTTTTATTTCAGCCTTGGAAATGATCTTTGGTTAAATCATAAATGTGAATGAGAAACATTTCACCAGCTATACCACTGTATATAAAGAATTAAATAGAAAAAGATTTTGTGAAAACCAACAAGAATATCCTTTATTCAGGAGGAGGAGCTGACATCACAATGACACGACATGTGATCTTGGAGCTCCAAGATCGCAGTCGATATTTTTGCTGCTGGACGGTCCTTTTGGACCTAAACTGTCCCAAAGAGATGGTGACAGGGAAGAGTACGTCCTGCTGATCTCAGGGACACCACAAAGTCCCTGATTGATCCAGGAGAATCTCTTTTTGCCAGTGACAGAAGCGCAGCCATTGAAGCTGCTGAAATTGGGACAGCTCTGGAATGGGAGGAAAACAGAAAGGGAAAGTGTGTCCATCTGGTGAGGACATCTTATTATAAAAGAGACTACCCCCCAAAAAATAAAGCTAAATTAAATTTGAAAACAGCAGAGAACAAGCAGTGAAATTAAGCTACATTAGACAATGTGTTATCCTTTTTTAAAATTTTATTTTACGGATGGAACTTTTGCAAATGTTTCCTATTCTTTAAATTGAATGGA